GAGGAGGAGGAGGTCGTCGCGTCCGACAACCGCCGCGGCGTCCACGAGCTGCCACAGCGGAGAGAGAAGGACGGGGGAGCGGGGGCGGGGTACTCGAGGCGCGGCGTGTTGCCGGCCTCGATGTAGTCGAGGACGTTCTCGAGGGTGCGGCCGGGAACCCCCACCACCCGCGCCGCCCTTCGGCGTTGTGGCGGCCGCGAGGCACGACGCCATTGGTGGAGGCGATTAGGCCGTCACGTCGGTGGTCGAAGTAGATCGTCCAGAACGCGTTGTTGTCGGGGGAGTACGCCGGCGTTCGCCGCTGATCCTCTGTCAGCGACGACCTAACGCGGGCGACCTCTGCCCGCCTGTCCGCCTCGGTGGGAGCGGGTGGCACCGGCACGCCGCCGGCGCTCAAGCGCCACGCACCCGGCACCCTCATGTCCGGGGGAGCCGGGTAGTCGGCCTTCAAAAGGAGGCGCGCCTCCAACTCGTGGAGGTGGCGGCGGCCGAAGCCGTTCTTCGTCACGGAGTCGCCTGGGTACCGTGCTGCCATTGCTCGTCGGTGGGCGTGTGGAGTGTGCGAGCGGGGGAGGGGGAGGCGATTTTTTGCTGCGGTGCGGCGTTCACCGGCGAGGAGTCCGGCTTTTATAGCCGGAGCAAGGGTGGCAGAGGCGCATGCCAGGCGACGCGTGGCGGACGGCCGTGGCGCCGGGCGACGCGACGCTTCACTGCGCATCATCAATGGGCATGTTGACCGGCGTGCTGCATCGTGCCAGGCGCGGCATCAATGGAGGCGACGGCGCGGCAGCGCGTCAGTTGGCATTGATTCCCGCGGGAAACGAGGCGATGTGGACGACGAAGCGGCGCGTCGCTGACAGGGCGGGCCCATCCGCCAAAAACGGTCCGTCCGGCGCCCCCAGGCGACCCCCAGCGCGCCGGGTTCGAGTTGGGTACGCCGGCGTCAATTTCGGCCCAATCCGACGGAAAACGGGCTCCTGGGGTCGTGACTGAGCCATTTGTTTTCTCGCCGGCGCCGAAAAAGTGGTCTGGGAGGACCTGTTGGGGGCGCGGCTGGAGATGCTCTTAGGGTCTCTTTGATTCAAAGGATCCTCATAGGATTTTTGAAGGATTAAAATCCTTAGAAATTTTTTCTACGTTCGTCGTTTGATTCGTATGATTGAATTTTGCAGGATTTTTTAAGGATTTATTTGTACTACATGTCACAGAAATTCTAACATCCACTCTAACCTCTTGAAAATAATTCTTCGTTTTTCCCGTGACACAATCAAACAAACTCAAATTCTATAGGGATTCAATGGACATTGCCATTTTAATCCTACGTTTTTTCTATTCCTGTGTTTTTGCAATCCTACGAATTAAAATGGCCCTTAGTGAAGTTTAAAATTCCGTTGTTGGTCCTGGACAGTGGAATGCGGAAGGGAAACAGATAAAAAAAATAGAAGAGCAAGGTTGCACCCCTGAGGTACTCACCAGCCACAGGTCGTTGCTGGTTGATGGTTGCAAACTGCCTAATAAGAAATCAGAGGCGGTTTCTGTATAACAACCACCTTGAATGTTTCTTGCAAGCGGTTTCCTAGTTCTAACCGTCTCCGGAGCTATCTTTTCTTTTTGAAAAAGAGGACACACCCTGTCCTCTGTATTTGGACGATGCATGCAACCATTTTATTAATTATTTATAAATTTTTTACAAAGTAATACATCAGTACGTCGTACAGGCAACATCTCACTAGTAGAAAAAGGGTCAAACGTGAAGCACATTAGTGCCGGTTTGAATTTGAGCCGGCACTAATTGTACCATTAGTGCCGGTTCGAACGGCTATGCATTAATGCCGGTTCGTGTTGAACCACGAACCGGTACTAAAAGGGTGATGGCAGGCTGGCGTCAGGCCGGGGTCCCACGATCACCTTTAGTACCGCTTCGTGTCACAAACCGGCACTAAAGGACTAACCTTTAGTACCGGTTTGTGCCACAAACCAGTACTAAAGGGGTCTGACACAAACCGGTACTATAGGATAATTTTCAAACTCTACCCCCCCACCACCGTGTGTCGCCATTTCAGTTCTGAAAAAATCAAAAGAAAATGATAAAAACTTCAAAAAATAAAATCCTTCGAGAGGTAGTTATATTACTACATCTACCAGTTAGGAAAGTTTGAAAACTTAAATTTGGATATGTTTTACAAAAAGTGTAGGGAAAATGTAAAACGACTATAACTTTTGCATACGATGTCGGAAAAAAATGTATAATATATCAAAAAATTCAGCACGAAAATCCGCATCCGATGGAGACCGCCTACGGGCCTATTTGCAACTTTAGAATCCTCAAATTCCAAAAGGAAAAAAAGATATGGTCAAATTTAAGTTTTTTAAATTTTTTTGTTAAATCTGGTCAAACTACTTATTTAAGAAGTATTAATGTTACTACATAATTATTCAAGAATATTAGTGTTACTAAATAATTATTTCAATTTTTTGAATTTTGGTCAAATCTGGTCAAACTATGGTCAAACTGTGGTCAAACTATGGTCAAACTTATTCAAGAAATATTAGTGTTACTAAATAATTACTGTTTTTTAGAATAATAGTTTCAAACTCAAACAGTGAAATGTGTGACTTCATGCTCAAGCTAAACTCCCGAGGGTTAATAGGATTGGCATCTTACTATTGTCAGGAAAACAACAAGTGCAGATTTGGAAACGAAGGAGAATAGAACCCGAAAGTTAAGCGTGCTCGGGCTGGAATAGTAAGAGGGATGGGTGACCGGTCGGGAAGTTAGATGATTTGGAATGAGTGATCCACACTTGAGCAGTTAAGAAAGGTGATTAGAGACTAAATCACCAAATAATTCAGAAAAATTAAAAATAAAAAAAAAATTCCAAAATTTTCAAAAAAAAAAATCAAAAAAACCTTTAGTACCGGTTGGTAACACCAACCGGTACTAAAGGTCCCCCATACCAGGGCAGAAAAATTAAAAATCAAAAAAAAAAATTCCAAAATTTTCAAAAAAAAAATTCAAAAAAACCTTTAGTACCGGTTGGTAACACCAACCGGTACTAAAGGTCCCCCATACCAGGACGCGAGCTCACGCCACGTGGTGGCACTTTAGCGCCGGTTCGTGCCGAACCGGTACTAGGGGGGGGGGGCTTTAGTGCCCACCAATTAGTGCCGGTTATGGAACCGGCACTAAAGGCCCTCACGAACCGGTTTTAAAGCTCCGTTTTCTACTAGTGCCTGTTGCTACTTCTATCCCTTTGATAGAGGGGTGTTGAATGTCCGAATCTAATACCAAACAAATGTCACACCAAAGCCTAACACCTAACGCCCAGCCTAGCCACTTACTGGGACTGGGTCACACACCGGTCCAGCGCACTCACAGTGGGCATCACATACGCACCCTGCAAGGCACGACACCACCATCTTCCACCGATCCATCTTCAAAGCAGAAACTGACGCATCGACTGTTTCAGGACTCTCTCTATCGACGCCACCACGACGCCAGACAACGTTGTCCTCCTGCGCAAGTCCATCCCCGCATATCGGACGCCGAATCTACAGTGCGCCACGCCGTCGAGATCCGTCGCCACCAATGTGTAGGTTGAAGCACTGCTCCACCAAAGTTGCAGTCCACTAATCCCTCGAGCTCGTGCACACCTCCAAGAACGACGCCCCCAGAGGGGAAACGACACAAGAGCGCCGCCGTCTTCCGATCTACTGATCTAGGGTTTCCCCCAGAGGTAGCAGATGTTGGCCTAGAACTTCTCCACAGAGATGCCTCCAAGAAGGGAACGACACCGAAGAGCGCCACCATCGCCGGTCTTGGCATCTAGCCAAGAGCAGGTTTTCACCCAGATTTGTTCGAAAAACTCCATCCATCTTTTTGTGCACGGATCGCCACCTTCTATGCCGGGGACCAGAACAAAGGACCTAGCCGCCGCCAGACCGGCTACGGCACCACCACGGTGCCAGAGCAGCCGGTTACGTCAGGCCCATCGCGCCAGCCTACCGCCGCGCACCAGATCCGTCGACCCGCCTAAGCCCATCTAGGCCCGGCGAGATCTAGGGTTAAGGCCACCGCCACATGGGCGCCCCCGCCGCGGGAGGCTGCGCTGCCGCTGTCGCCGCCGCCACATCCGCCGCTGGGATCCCGCTGCACCGCGCCATTGAATCACCGGAGTGTCCATCTTGGCGACGCCAGATGAAGACACCACTGCGTGTGAGGGAGAAGTCCCCACCGCCGCCTTCACATCCCACGGCTCGGGCTTCGCCGGCGTGAACTCGGGCCGCGCCGCCGAATCACCGGAGTGTCCATCTTGGCGACGCCAAATGAAGACACCACCGCGCGCGAGGGAGAAGTCCCCGCCGCCGCCTTCACATCCCACGGCCCGGGCTTCGCTGGCGTGAACTCGGGCGGCAGCGGGAGGGAGAGACTGGGGCAAGGAGGTCTAGGGCGCAGCGGCGCGATCTCCCCCGTGTCGAGGTCGGGCGTTCCTGTTTTGGCAAATCTCCCTTTTTTAGGGGAGAATTTCACTTTCCTGGCCTCTGCACCAACTAGAAAATGCATACGACCTTTTAAGTATGAGTACTAGGATTTTTAAACTCGGTTACACATCGAGCCTAGTCCTCAATAAATGCGTGAGTACCTAAAAAACCCGGTCCTTAAGAATAAACCCAAAATCTCAAAAGTGGACGCGCACTTTTTTGCGAGCGATTTCAATCACACACGTGCATCCCCACTCCAGATGTCATCTGGTCAGGAGCCCACCCACCGTCATCCCACTCCAGCCTGCCGGCCTAGCCCACCATCCACCCTGTTGTCTCTCGCTTTCTCGCATCTCCCCAAATTCATCTGGATCCAGTCGCCGTCGGCTCCTCCGAGCGTGGCCCTCACCGGATCCGCATGACCGCATCCACAAGCCGGCCTCCTCCTCTGGCTCGACCCCGAGATCCCCCACCTGGAACCTTCCCGGCGACGGTGCAGTCCAGGCCGCCGTGGAGCCATGGATCCAGGCCATGGCCCTCCCTGCTCGTCCCTCCATCCCCTCTACGACGGTGAAGACGAGGCCATAGCACTCGCCTCCCCCATGAGCTCCAGGCATGAGGTCCAAGACCCGCCTCATCCAGATCGGGCCGCGGTGTCGCGCCACCACCACGTGAACCCAGCTGCCTCCTCCGCCATTGACAACATCCACACGGACGACCATGCACCACCAACACCACCACCTCTCCCCCCGTCACTCGGCTACATGGAGGACGTGTAGGTGTTCCCTGCGGCCTCTCCTCTCTCTGTCTCTCCATAGTTGCAATGGATGCATGCAAAAAAATTTGAGAAAATTCCTTATTTGACACTATCTTAAAATCTGCTTCCTTATTTGACACTGGAAAAGTTTTTCTTCTTTATTTGACACAAGTTCTAAATTTTATTTCCTATATGACATTTTCGTCCATTTTAAGCCTAAATGACACCTGAAAAGACTCTTTTGCCCCTCATGTGGTATGTGTGTGGGGGGCAATAGCGCACACACGCAGCATCAGTGCGAAAGCAGAAGCACACACGCATCAACACATACACATGCACCAACACACACGCACGCGCACACACGCGCACGCGCGCGTGCACACACACACACACACGCACACACACACGCACACGCAGCAACACACACGCACGCAGCACACACCCACATACACACACACATGCAGCAGCACACACGCAGGCAACACATAGGCACGCAACAACACACACACACACGCACGTACACACGCAGTAGCAAACACACACGCAGCAGCACACATGCACACACACATGCAACAGCAGCACACATGTGCGCCTGCACCCACACACGCAACAGCACACGCACGCGCGCACACATACCACATGAGGGGCAAAATCGTCTTTTCAGGTGTCATTTAGACTCAAAATGAACGGAAGTGTCGTATAGGGAATAAAATTTAGGACTAGTGTCAAATAGGAAAGAAAAACTTTTCCAGTGTCAAATAAGGAACCAGATTTTAAGACAGTGTCAAATAAGGAATTTTCTCAAAAAAATTAAGAACAAGTATGAGCTAGCTAAGGGAACAACAGAATCCAGCACCAGATCACCTGATGCAGCAATTCAGGAACATCATTTGCTTTTTTGTTTCTGGTATTTGATCTTATGCATTTATACCTGACATGGGTGTTCCTTCCATTGCAATGACGGGATTAGTCTGCATTTCGTACATCAATTTCTAGTTTGAGTTGCTATGGTCGACCAGAGTTAGGTGTACAAATTTGTTGTCTGACTTGTAATGTGTAACTATCTCACAATGATCAATTCATAATGTGGTTCGTGTTAACTAGTAGCATAAGCTTATCAGGATCATTATTCTGTGTTGTATCAGGATCATCATTTTGTGTTGTATCAGGGTCAATGACCAATCTGGACGGTCTCTTTTCAGATGGTAATTGAACGCGGAGAAGGGAGATACTAGCATGCTTTGCGTTCGTCAATCTGGACGGTCTTTCAGGTGGTGTTTGAACGCAGGGACGGAAATACTAGCAAGCTGATGATGATGATTTTTACACACATGCCTTGTACAAGCTCATGGCAGCTCCGTGCGGCTGTGATTCAACTTGGCCTTGTACGAACTCATGGCAGCTCCGCGCGGCTGTGATTCAACTTGGCCTTGTACGAGCTCATGGCAGCTTCCCGTCAATATCTGGTATGTCATGTCGGGGAACGCAAGTTGTTTTTTCTGCTGCCGCTCAAGTTGCACAGGCACTTGTATCAGTACGCATTTCTGATACAGCTTAATCTTATCTCTGTAGCACACTCGCTAGAGGTCCGTTGATTTGGATGAAATTGGGTGTCCTACATTCTGCTACTTTTGTGCTATGCTTGTTGCCTCTGTATGCTTCAGGTATAGAAAATCCTATCCACTTTCATGAAGATACAAAGACTAGATGACATTTTTGTTTAAGCCTTGTGTTAAGTTGATCTATTTTTGCTATTCATATTTTTTGTTGGCATGTGTAGCAGTTGTAGTTGCACACATAATAGTTCTCAGTTGGATATGACCATCAAGCAGTTACACAAGATAACGATACTAAATTGGCTAGATGAACCTAGCTCTCACATTGCTTACTTCAATTTAGCTAGACGCGGGTCATTGTAAGCTCGACCAACTACTATTTGTAAACTAGAAGCATGCATACTCTCGTCCGCATATGTACAGTACTTTCAGCATCTTGCTCAAGGAGCTATGGTGATTAGGATTAGTGGTGGGTTTGCATAGTGATTAGGGTTTGAGTTGGATTTTCGCGGCGGGTTGTTCTAATTTCACAACTATTGGTATGGTTCAACATCCTATCTTGATCCATCTATTTTTGCCTAGACTACATTTGTCTCGTTAAACATGATACTCTCTCTAGAGCTTCATTACATTATGTACCTCTTTTTTTCTCTTATAAATGCATCTGCGTGGTTTCTGTGTTTTCTCGTAAGTTGCCGCATGTAAGTAACTAGTTGGCTAGTTTGTTGTAATAGTTGCACAGGAACGCAAACGGTAGTTGGATGACTCATATACATATCTCAGTTGGCTAGACAACTTATGAAGTTGCACACTAAGGGCTAACCAGTTGCATAATCGATGATATTTAGACTTGGGAAATTTACTTGCAATGTTGATTCAACTTGGGTTTCTATGGCAGCTGAAGTAGAATATGCAAATTTTGTAGCTTAACAGTTGTGATCTTATCTTACCAGATATTGATGGGAGCAATCGGACTTTTGATGTCTGTGCAGTTTATCTATGTTATCGATAATTTTTCATTCAGTCATCTAATCCACCTCCACTTATGCGTGTATAGTCTGCTACCTTACCCAAATAATATAGTACTGAAATATTAACAACATTTTCGTTCTCACAGATTGTTAACTCAGCCCCTTCTAGGTATTTTTCTAGGAAAAACAGTCAAATTCATTTGTATAGATGCATCACTTTTGTGATCCTGCTAGTCAATCTCTGGTATGATGCTTGGATTTTTGATGATTGGAGTGTTGATCTGTACAAGAGTCTTTTAGAATTGTGATCTTCAAGTTTTTTAGAATTGTCCCAAGAGTATGTAACGACTTGGCATCCTCAGGCTTTCTAGTTGCAGAATAGTATCTAATTAGTTGGCAACCTCAGTAATTCTAGTTTCACAACAATATACAACTAGTTGACATCCTCAGCTTCTCTAGTTGCACAAGAACTCAGATTAGTCCCATTTTAAAAAAATTGAGAATTGCCCAAGAGTATGTAACGACTTGGCATCCTCAGGCTTTCTAGTTGCAGAATAGTATCTAATTAGTTGGCAACCTCAGTAATTCTAGTTGCACAACAATATACAACTAGTTGACATCCTCAGCTTCTCTAGTTGCACAAGAACTCAGATTAGTCCCATCTAAAAATAATTGAGGATTGCCCGAGAGTATCTAACGACTTGGCACCCTCAGGCTTTCTAGTTGTAGAAGAGTGTCTATTTAGTTGGCACCCTCAGCAATTCTAGTTGGATAACATTATCCAAGTAGTTGACATCCTCAGCCTCTCTAGTTGCACAAGAACTCAGATTAATCACATAAAAAAATTTGAGGATTTCCCAACAGTATCTAACGACTTGGCATCCTTAGGTTTTCTAGTTGCAGAATAGTATCTATTTAGTTGGCACCCTCAACAATTCTAGTTGGACAACATTATCCAAGTAGTAGACATCCTCAGCCTCTCTAGTTGCACAAGAATTCAGATTAATTCCATCTTAAAAAATTTGAGGGATTGTCCAACAGTATCTAATGATTTGGCACCCTCAGGTTTTCTAGTTGCAGAAGAGTATCTCTTTAGTTGGCACCGTCTGCAATTCTAGTTGGACAACATTATCCAAGTAGTTGACATCCTCAGCCTCTCTAGTTGCACAAGAATATCTCATTAGTTTGCATCATCAGCATTTCTAGTCGCACAAGAATATCTCATTAGTTGGCATCATCAACATTATCTAACAGTATCTCATTTTCTAGTTGTATTTTTAAAAATATCAAATGAAGGGGAATCACCAGCCTTTTTTAGTTGGCATGGTTAGTTATATACTTGCACAAGTTTTCACTCAACTGTTCTTTTTTTTTTCTACACCCAGGATGTCAACGCAGAAGTTGAGATGAATGAAGGAGAGAATCCAGACTGCCCGTCACAGGCTGGTAGGATAAGGGCGTCCCCAGGGAGATTTGTCAAGTTGAATAAAGAACTGACTCCAATGCAAGGAGCAGATTTGTGTGAGAGGCTATTCGGGGGGTCTTCCGAACGTAGCTGAGACGCTGCCTACGGAGCTGACCAAGTACCTAGTGCAGTGTTACAAACCAGAAACTTCAGAAACCACAGCCGTCACAGTTGCACATGTTTGCTAGTATAGTTGGTACATCAAGGCTTCTCTAGTTGCACATAGTATGCAAAAGTTGGCACATGAAGGTTTTCACCTAGTTCCACATGTTTTTGTTGGTTTTATGGTCCATCAATCTTCTGTCTTTTTCACCCCCCGGAATTGCACATACTATGCAAAAGATGGTACATGAGTTCATACGTAACACATAGTAAAGGGGGGCTTGTTGGCTTCAGTGCCTGGGGATTTTTTTTTGCTGGTAACAAGATCTCCACAAGGAGGTTGAGAGAACAGCAGGTAGGGAGGTTCAACATGCATAGAGGGGAAGGGTAGAGATATGAGAAGGGGAAACTCACATGTTTTTGTTGCAGTTTTTTCCCTTCATTTCCTCAGTTTGGATCTTTGCTTCTTCTCCTTGCCATGGCGATCTAGGGTTTTTCCTGAGCAGACAACCATTTTTCGTGGGTAAGAAGATCTTTGGGGAAGGAGGAAAGGACAGGAGAGGAGAGGAGAGAGAGCTTTTGTAGCGCTGGGGTGGAGGCGTGATCGGTTGGCGGAGCTGGCCGCTCCAGGACGCCCGCCTGGTGCGCGTCAGGGTGTGGGGGACCGGCGGTTTCCTTTTTGGTACGGGGGACCAAAATTTTCCTTTTTTTGCCGGCCGCTCGGGATCCCTTGCGAGCCAATGGGCGCACGCTAGACCCATCCAAGAATAAATATGAATCTAAATTTGCTTCCGTGAGAATTTGAACCTAGGTGTTGCGGTTTGTACTTCCACTCCCCCAACCAATTGAGCTAGGCTCACTCCCTATATATAACAATAATAACTGCACTATAGGAATATCATATGTGACTTTGTTCAGCTTGGTTACA